TTTATACTTTTTTATAATTAACTAATTATTATAATAAATTAGGCTTCGGACTCACAATAGTTTCTGTTAACCTAGTGGTAGATCAAAAATTTGAACTTACACAAATGCTCAACTGTAGTTAATGCTTATTCGCCACGCTGATGATCCAAATGAAAGGGGTGGACTATCCCTTACTAGCAAATCCTTTTTTATGTTTATGGTTAGGACAAGTGGGAGCATTGTTCTTTTTTCGTGTGAGGCTATAGTTTGTTTCGAAAGACTTTCTTCTATTACAAACCGTACGTACTATCATATACCCGAAATTTAAGGTTAGAGCATTAACTTGTTTTGTCATAACCTCAGAATCAATATCTATATATGGTTAACAGAATATTGTTGAAATACGTAAACAAAAAGAGGATCAAATTTAGATTTTTATAAATACATATAATTTTAAAAAACTTACATTTTTTGATTGTTATTCAGGTCTTCGTTTTCAGATAATACTGTAGTCATATAGTAGAACTAGTGATTTGAACTGATTAACGTTTAACTAGTTAACCGATTGGTTAAACCAATACAGTTGACCAGTTGAAAAATATTAACCAGTTGATATACCATCAATTCAGAAATACGAATATATGGAAGTTCTGACAAAATTCACTCGCAACCATTTTGCCAACCGCAATAAATTAGCCAATCATTTGATTGGTAAATTAACTATTATAAGTTAAAAAAATCTTTGCAGAATTCTCTTAATGAAGTCAAGACCAATATTAGGTAATAAAACAAACAATTTTTCATAATATATGTAGGTCTATAAATCGGTAATTTATTATAATAAACTAAAAAAAAACTATAACCAGAAATCAAGAATTCAAAGAAATCTTGAAACAGGTTAACGACTAGAAAAATCGATTAATCAGTTTTAATCACAAATTGTCCATCTCTATTTTTCATTTGCAAATTATTTTGTACCTTTTTTCAAATCAATAAAAGGCTTTCTTTTGATAGTTTCTATTTTTATAATATATTAAACAAAAATTTTTATATAGTTAAATAGATAATAAAAAACAAAAAATATATGCCATTTTGGGTTTCATTTTTGAAAAATACATAGTTATATAAGGTTTATTTTTAAAAGAAAAAAAAAACCGTAAAGACAAAATAAAGTTAAACATAGATAATATCGATGAGACTGATAGCTTAGTCCTAGAGTCATCTAAATAAATAATCTAAATTAGAAACAAAAGAAAATAATGAATTATTAGGTACATGAAATGTGTTACTAAGAACATTCTCAGATATGTCATTATTTAGCATAGTAAAATTATTATTAATGTATGGAAAGAACCCATTTTGAATTGATTGAAATTCTTCGTTATAATTACAGTCGAGGCAGAGAGGAATGGGTATGCCAAATTGAGTTAAGATTAATGCGTGTTCATGTTCGATATTTGAGGCGTTACCGACATTACTAGACGCTTTCGGTCCTCGTTTTTTAGTTGATTTGACATAAATACATTTGAGGTTTTGTGATGCACAATTTGTGCAAATAGCTTCTTCAGAACACTTTTGGTGTTTCTTTCGACAATTAGTACATGCATTAGTTGCATAAGGGCCTCGTTGTTGTCGATTTGAATAGTACATAATTTGGGAATAAATTTTATAAAAATTATAAAAATACTATAGAAATAAATTTTAGACGTGAATAAATAAATATTTATAACAGACACAACCATGCTTTGGAATATGATCGAAGACAAGAATTCTTCATATTTATAAGAAAAAGGTTTCTATGATGTAAAGCAGTATGTCTAAAAAGTATGTAACACGAAGCCTTTAACACCTGCGGATGAATCGAATTATATATAAAATTACCGTTAACAAAACTGGGCTGATATATGACAATCTTATCAAGAAATTTAAATTGCTTATCTCTATCTGTATGAATGTTTGTATATATTACTTTCCATATTTGGAGTTTCTAAAAGTCGGGGTAAATTACGTTAGTTCATTATAGTTTTATATGTAATACTGTAAAAAAATTATCAAAAAAATTTAAATTACTTATCTTTTTTATATCCTATTACTAATATTTTGACTTTGTTTGTTACAATCCATATTTAGAGTTTCTTTTTCGTGGGGTAAGCACGTGACAAGGGGTTATTTCATTAGTTAGTTTGAGTTAGTGTAAAAATTATAATACAAAAGTATTTAATGCATGCGAATCGGATTGAGTTATACAAAAAATTTCCGTTACTAGATTGATGTGAAACATCTTATCAATAGATTTAGCTTATCTCTTGTCTTATCGTTATCTCTTATTTTGACATTATCCGTTACGAATGTTTGTACGCTTTCCATATTTGAAGTAGAGAGGAGTAATACTGATAGTAGTGGTTTATGGTTTTACAGGAGAGACCGTTGATGTTACACGACTGATCCTTCACCCGGCGTGTAACGCATAAAAAAATTATTTTACAATACCAGATCATTCCGCTAGTACATGTTATGATTAAAATACCCCGATCACTATATCAAGATCACTGGGTATTTAGCAAAAATACCCTGACCGTATGTGTACAAGCGGAAACTTCGTGTCCGCTAATACCCAACGGATCAGGATATTTTTATTACTAATCCAACACCATTTTTATTATATAATCATGACATGTACTACTGTACTAGCGTAATGACATGGCATTGTAAAATATTTTTTTTTTATATGTTGCACACCGGGTGAAAGATCAGTCGTGTAATGGCAACGGTCTCTGCTGTTTTATAGTTTAGTAAAATACTGAAGTAATGGAAATTAGCAAACACGTATGAATAACTGAGTATAAAGTAGTATATAAAATTTATGCAGACATGACGTTAGATTTCGGGCTTTAAAACCTATAAAATCGGGTCAGCAATCCAGCGTCACCGCTATTCGAGGGCGCAGTTACATGATAATCTGACTACCTGATTTTATTTTGATGCGTCAATGCAATTGTTCTTGCAATGAAACCTTTTATAATGAATGCATCTATGCTCTGTAACAATATAATGAACTAGGCTCGAAAATACTAGACTCGAAAATATTATAAAATTCTTTATTAAGAGTTCACTATAACAAAGATGAGCTGTATTTAGGCACTAGTTCTTTTATTATTTAGCTCGTGAGTATATTTTTAGAACTCTACAACCTTATATAGCTTCGTTTAATTATTTTTTGTGTTAATTCGGTTCATGAATGAAGGCAGATTCGTTTATAATTTCAGTTACAACGAAAGTTACTATAACAGGCTTCTTTGGACATAATAAACTTTGAAATTTAAATTTATATTATAGAGTTTGTAATATGTATATTTTGTATACTTAATGATTCAATATCATTTAAACAATCTTATTCATGTTTATAAGTCATTTTAAATCTGTTCGAGTTTATTATTTATTAAATAAAGTTTTTCTTTAGAATCAGGGCTACAAAAAATTGATTATGAGGGCAATTAATTGCAATTTTTGCAGTTGTAATGGCTTGATAAAATATGTAATAATAAACATAAGTATGAGTATATTTAAAGATATTTGACGTCAAAACTTGTAGTTTTTGAATTAAAATTGTACAAATCACAAGAACATTAATTTACATTTCTTTATAAAAACATGCATATGGTATAGCATTCTAAATCTTTTTTAAAAATCAGTTTCAATGAATTTTAAGGTTCCAAACAAATGTTACATAGATGCCTTTTTAGCTCTTCAAATGACAGCAAGCATTAGTGTAAGTTATGTTCTTCCATCATAATCTATTTAAGGTAGGTTAGTCATGGCAGAAAAATGTCGCGGTAACCTGATCGCTGACTACTTCTGTCTGTATTTAAAAGGTTGCCTAGTAATTAGCCCATCGTATATATGGTAAGAAATAAACATAGTATTTAAATATGTTGTGTGTTAATATTGCAAAGGCCGTTATCTTACAGAGACCCGTCAGGTTATTTATCAAAATTGGCAAACCTGTATTAAACGCCAGCTATATGTTGTGCTTGAAGTTAGCATCTGCTTAAAATTGTGCCTGAAGTTGAAACTGCCTAAAATTACTAAATAATGCAAGGAAGTTCTAATTTCAGGGGTTAATTTTAGAAAATGTACTTAAATTGGTAACTTCAAGCAAAACATATATATATAATCAGAGTTTTTCTGAAATTTGGATAAATTTCGGCACGGCCATATCAATGGATTCGCAAAATAACTGAAACATGAATGTTACACTAATATTATGTTCTTCCAGATCACAGCTGATAATCAAAAACAAAACAAAGAAACGGGTTATGCAAATTTAATGAATTATTGGATACAGTTACAGTTATTGAAAATGTAATTCTGTATTTGAATATAGTCAGTTTTTTCAGTTTCTCAAAAATTTACATTTATCACGAAAGTTATAGTAAAGGTTAAAATTGCAATTAAGGCTATGCAAACTCATATAATTGGTTCTCATAACCGGGCGGGTCACTTTCTCTAAAAATTAAAATTTTAATTTT